TTGAGGCTTACGCCTCAAAACGCCTTGAGGCTTACGCCTCGCCTCACGAATGAAAAACGCCTCAATACCCGAATACGCAATTTTAAACATTGATAGAGTCCACGAGAGTTGGCAAGATCCGGTCCAAGTACTCTTCAGGGGTGTCGTCGAAGTCGAATCCCACGTCAAAGAAGGGTGAACGGAGAATGTCGACTCTTCCGTTGCGGTCGTATTCAAACCCGAAATTTCACTCGGGTTCTTCCATGCATTATCGAAGACGAGAGTGAGTGGTCGCCGCAAGATGTTCTCACGTGCAAGGGGGAAGTGGCTCGTGGATTGGGGAGAAGCGGCCAAGCTTTGGCGGGCTAGAGAATTCGTGCCAAGGAGGAGAGCCGAAGAAAGGTGCAGGAAATTCCACAGTTAATGCAATTTTGGGAGGGTTAGATGAGGGGGATTTAATTTGAAATCAAATTAAATCATGGGGGCTGATTTTGTGGGGTTAACGGTTTGATTAGGAGAGAGAGAATTGAGCCAATGAAGAGGAAAGGTATGGAACGGCTGGACTAAAGGAGAAGGCAGAGGCAATTCAATTAAAGTGGGGCCCAGCTGCTAACGTAACAGATTTTCTTCTAAAATCTGGAGTTAAACAGGAATTAAAACAGAGAAAGTTTTCCTTAATTGATAAGAATACTAGGCAACGCAGGATTTCAAAATTGGTTTTAAAATCCAAATTAAAAAGATTGCCTAAATCTTAGGACCAATTAAGGAATGGAATTAAGGCTCATGATGGGAGTTTGAAATTCAAATCCAAACTCTCAGGGGATGGCGGGCGGTCGGTGGACGTCCAGGCGGGGCGGGTGGAAGAGTAATTAGGGGGAGAAAGGCGTGGCTGTGATGGGCGGCTGGGCCTTTGGAGAATTCGGCAGCATCCAAAGGGAAGAAAGAACAAAAAAAAAAACAAAGAAAATTGGGAGCTTCTAGGGATTCAATGACCACGAGCACACTAACCTCACTTATCTCCAACGTCGCTTTCCTCGATATCGGATAGCATGAAAATTAGAACTCACGAAGAGATCTAATTTTCTGGGCCTTTGGAGAATTCGGCAGCATCCAAAGGGAAGAAAGAACAAAAAAAAAACAAAGAAAATTGGGAGCTTCTAGGGATTCAATGACCACGAGCACACTAACCTCACTTATCTCCAACGTCGCTTTCCTCGATATCGGATAGCATGAAAATTAGAACTCACGAAGAGATCTAATTTTCTCCGGCGAACTCACAAAGAGATCTCGGGATGAACTCACAAAGAGAACACAAGGGGAATTTTCATTTCATTTTCCAAAACTAAAAACTATTACAATGCATATTGCCTCATATATGGAGGCTCCAAAATGAAAGAAAAGAAAAGACAACAATGCCCTCGGGGCTACATAAGTCAAACAATGCCCTCAGGGGCAAACTCAGAAAAACTAATAAAAAAAATGACATAAACTATAAACTCAAAAGTAGAGGCTCTGGATCGTAGCCATCGATCTGCGCCGTCGGCGATGGTACACGTGTCGAAATCTGATGTCCCCATCAAGATGGATTAAAATAAAATTAAGCCTCCCAAAAAAAAAAGCAAATTTACATAAAATACCTTACAAAAAGAAATTGTAAACAATCTCTATGAAAAATATGACAAATAATCATACTAACTATCATTATTAATTATCTCATCTATTAAAACTATGTCAATGGTAGTGCTCTGTTGTGTTCCTAGGGAAATTGCGCTACTTAACATAAAAAAGCAAGCTTGGAGATTGGTTAGGCTGATTAAATTATATCATGGTTGTTGAATCACATAATTAACCTTTTTTATGCTAATGTAAGACTCCATAAATTCACCACGCTTCAGTTCCCTGTATAAAAGCCTCGTGCACTGAGTGGGTTTTTTTATCAAATTAAAGATATGTTATTTAACTAATTCATATGATCTGAAGATGAAAATAGTGTAGAAACATCTTTATCTGGGCTGTCAATTGATAATTCCGATGTTTTCTTGTTTGAATATATTAGATAAATGCGCTTTCCTATTGGAACCTTTTTATGTCCAAAGTCCAACAATGGAATCAATCTTTTCAAAGTGCCAAGTTCATTGCATAGCACATAAGGTCTTCATTGCATCAATGCACATTGCACAAAAATGAAGTGGTTCTTCTGCTAACTATAATGCTTACGACTTGTTTATCCCATTTATCAAAGTTTTCAAAGCTCATTGTATAAAGCTAAGTGTAAAGGGCAGTTTTGTTTTTAAACATGTAGGAAAAGTAAAGCTTCAACTTAAATAATTGATGGACGTTTCATTTATAGTTGCGCTTACTATGCTTATAGCAAAATTTTAATAAAAATTTTCTACCTAATCAATTAATTTTGTATAATATCAAGCTATATTTTAGAGGTTGGAGTACCTCCAGTGACAGATAAGATTAGAAAGAGTTGCCTTAGATGGTTTAGTCACATTAAACATTGACCTTCTGATGACCTTATTATGATATATATATTAAATCCAGTCTATTTTAAGAAAGATAGAGGTAGACTCAAAATGATTTGGTTAGAAAGTATTAAAAAATATATTTTTTATTAGATTTAAATGAGAATTTAACTTTTATTAGTAGACAATGGTGAAAAATAATTCATATAGTTGACCCCACATAGTGGGATAAAGGTTTATTATTGTTGTTGTAATATCAAGCTACTTTTTAAACTAAATAAGGCAGAATAATAATATTATTGTGACATAAACACTAAATAATATGAAGGATAAATTTCATACCACTTCAAAGTTTTAAACTTAGCAGCAAATAATATCATTTCTTATTAAAAACATGTAGAAATATGAATACATACCAGCTACAAATGATCATAAAATTATCATTAATGAATAAATTGAGATCTATATTTTAAGTTTGATATATCAGGAAAGACAGGTAAGTCAGGTCTATTAAGAGATCTAGAGATTTTGATCAAGTGAATGTATTAAAAATGAAGATAATAGGATTTTATTTAGAGATAAAACCATCATTAATGAAAAATTATAAATAATAGAAAAGTATCACCATATGGTTTTTATTAAACTTTAAAAGGCATATAATCAAATACAATGAGAATTGATGTTGTTGCATGCTAAAGTAGAAAAGTGTGTTCAATTATTAAAGATATGTATGCTGAATTGTTTATTATTATTAGTAGTTGGAGAGTAACAAAAAAAAAATCCAATTACAATTAGATTTTGCATCAAGGATTATTAGCATCGAGCCCAATTTTTTAAAATATTTTTTTAGATGCTTTCAAAGGATATTCAAAGTGGAGTATCATGATTTATGCTTTTTACAAATGACAGTTCTAATTAATGACACATCCACTGACAAAAACAAAGGACGAAATATTTAGGAGATAGAGGTTAAAATTAGTATAACAAAATTTTGAGTATATGATATGCAATTTTGATGGGTGTATTATTAGCAATTATCAATCAATATTATTAGAAGATAAATTGATACTTAGGTGTGATATGTTTAAATATCTTTGATCGATTATATATATTAATGGTCAATTATACAGAAGAATGGGGATAAAGATGAAGATTCTAGAGTTAAGATTGAGTTAAAATAAAGAAATGCAGCAGGAGTATTATGCAATAAAAAGAAATTATGGAGACTTAAAAGTAAATTTTATAAAATTGTAGTTAGGTTGTTGATGTTGTATGGACTCAAATATTGAGCAATAAAAATTCTTTGATATCTAAATTGATTGTGTTAGAATGAGAATTGAGATGGATGCTTGAAAAAAAAATAGAAATAGTTTGTGAAGAATAGGTTTAAAACCTAGGACAAAACTTAGTAGGAATGAATGAAAAATGAGGATTCATAAATCTGAACACAAATAGTTGTAAAAAGGCTAATGATGATGATATTTCAAAATTAATTTTCAGTTTCATTTAAAAAATATGCGGAGATTGTACTATTATGAAGAAATGTACTAATCAATGGTAATCATATTTGTAAAAAGAGAAACTATCATGAAAGAGAACCAAGCAAATCACAAATATATAAAATTCAGAAACTGTTTGCTCCCAGTACATGCTGGATATAAATCTAATATATGGCTGGGCTCAAAACATGCTTAATATAGGACTAATATACCTGATAAGGTAAGGAACTGTCCAATCACTTTAAGGTTATGTGTTGTTAGTCTTTAATTTGTACTGTATCTTTTTCTCTAGCTTATAAGTTATTTCAGTGCTCTGATTCCCTGACAGTGTGCATTTTAAGTTGATCATAATTCCAGTTAACGATGTTGGGTTCATTTGTAGAGAATAGTTGACCAGATATGCTAAACCTCTTTTTAACCAAAAGATTGATGCTGGATTTGTATCCCCTATTTATATCTGGATCCTATTTTCAAGGTTATTGGAATAACTTTATTGAAATAATATTATCTTACTGTTGCTGCATGGACTTAGCATGTTTAGGCAGATAACCTGGGATGCATATTATTTTCATGTTGAAAAACTGCTATTGCCTTGCCATCCATGTTCATGCCGCATGCTTCTCATTAAAATTCAATGATGTTTCAACCAAGTACTAGTGCAATCATTGTATAAAAGTTTTTATTGTGCTGCAGGTTTAGTGTATCTGAGCCGCCTTTTGTCTATCAGAAATAAGGTAGTTCTAATAGTTGAATTAATGGCATGTCAGCTGGCTTAAACCTTTAACTTGTTGATTTGTGTCTTATTTTGAATCATGTCTTTTATAAAGCTGTATGATAGATGATTATTTTAGGTTATGATCTGTAATTTGCTCTGTAGTTCATAATTGATGATTGTCAACTTCCTTTTTCCATAATTTTCTTTGTTGCTCTCTTGTTCTTCAAAACTTGTCATGCTTCTATTCTGCAATCCCCTTATGGACGTTCTGCTATCTTCACAACCACATACATTATCTCATTTACTTTTTATTGACCTTTTTCCTGCTCGCTACAGAACAGATGGGCAGTTTCAGACATACCCACTTGATGAGAGCATCCCGCACCTAGCAAATGATCTGCATACAGGTTTCAACCGCCTACCCAATGTGGCACAAAACTCTCCCAGCCGTTTTAGTCAGCAATCACAACAATCGTTTAATCGGTACAATAATTATGTGCAATCAACAGCAATGCATGGTTTGAGGACACATCAGAAAATTCAACCATCCCGATCCAATTATAATATGGTTGATTCACATTCTGCCACTAATAATATGTTCAACAATAGCATGCAATGGGGTAATCTTCACAACTATTTGGCTTTGGATTATTTATTAGATTTCATTTTAGGCTGAGTTTTTTTTTTTAATGTTTTCACCTTTGCTTTTGTTATGAAGTGATCAGGATTCTAAATATTTTATGGGTTGTAATTTTGAGGTATTATGAGTGTATTGCACTTGAAATTCATGGGTTTTAAATTTTCAAGTGTTTGATATAAAGTAAAAAAAATCTTTAGTATATCTCTAAGGAATTCATAATACATTCAATAGTTCATTTTTTTTTTTGGCAAATTTGGACTTTGCCCAAATTGTGTAAATTCCAAATTCACCGTTCACATCTTCATCCCATAGAATTCCAGTAATCGCCCTCTTTAGTGCTCACCTTCCTCAAACTCTTTACATATGTGATCCCACTCGCCCTCTGTTTCTATCCTAGATCAATTTACACCTTAGGCCCACACATCACCGTAGTTGGCTCTCACACAAAGCTGATGCTAGGACTCCCACAAATTTCTACACCACATGACAACTCTAATACCTGACATCTCTTGGTTTCTTTCTTACATACGCTTACACACAGCTCTCTTGTCATTTGCACACAACCCTGCGAGCTCACGTGACTTGTGACGACCTCATCTATGACTATGACGACCTTGTTACAACCTTGCTAGCATCTGTCCCCTATCATCATCCTAATCCTTCCCTAAATTGAATTAAATTTGCAGCCAACCAAACACGAAAAAGTGGATTTTGTGGTTTCTCTTACAATCAACCAAACAACTATTAAGAAATCAAACCCAACTGCATTTGAAATTTTCTTAAATACTAAATACTTGCAACCAAGTAACCCCATCGAGTTGTTTCAGAGAGTGAGCTAGAGTAATGGTTAGATTTCCTCTATTGTGATCTAAATGGTATGCGTTTGAATCATGAAAACAATATTTTTTTAATGTAGGTTAGCTGAGTTCATCAACCTCTCCCTATACCTTGCATTGATGAGTATTTCAATATTGTCAAATTGTTTGGAATATCCTTGTTAATAATTGTCCTAGATTCATTAGATGTTTGAATTAATTCAATTCCTTGACCAATCTCACAAATAAAGTACATGATTACTTTCGTTGTTGTTTCTTTTATTTTTTTGCTTATGCTTTTCACAATAAAGTACATGATCATGTTCATTGGTATTGCTTTTATTTTTCTACTTAAGCTTTTCAAGATTGTATTCAAATAATTTTATGGAGAATTGAGTTTATGTCCCTAGATCTACGAATTAATTGCAAATGGGCACTTTTTTTAGGTAAGCAATTAGTTCCTTCATTTTGGTTTCCATATCATGTAGAAGATTTTTTATGATTTCTATTAATATTGTAGTTTGCTAATATTCAAAGTGATGCAAGGTGTATAAGATCTTTATGGTGAAAGTGGTAAATTGATTGGTGTCCTCTTGGGGTGGTGCTGGAAGAATTATTTGGGTGGTGCTGAAATGGGTATTTATAGTTTAGACATATTTGGTGGCCTAAACCGGGATTGAACCCGCCTTGGTTTTTGTTCTTTTAATGGTCTCATTCTGAGTCCATTCGAGATTTTTCTTTGATTTTGTCTTCAACTAGGGGAACGGAAGAGAGCACCCAAAGAAGCGTATCACGGCGAGGACAAAAAAGGGACGCCGGTTGCAAGGGCGTGTGAAACGTAGATCATCGCCATTCTTAACCGAGACTCAGGTTGAGCTCTGTCTCGGAACCTTCGTGGGGTTAGGAGTAAAGCATCCCGCCACTGCATGGAAGCCTGCGAGATACTTATTGTTCCAGGGGCAACCTTTGAGATTACCATTCATTAAGTGGCAAGTCTCATTGTTTTGTTCAATTCAAGTGAATTCTTTCTATTTGTTCTTTTGAATCCTCTGGACCCACATAAGTGAAGTGTATCGCTCCGATCTCCGGCACACATAAATAGAAAATGAAAATAGGTGCTCGGGGGCCTCTCTTTCTTTTCTATAGCTAGGGCCCTTGAGCCTTCTGCAGTATAAGGACAATTGTGTGGTGCCTTCTGACGCTTGACGTCTCATTAAGGCGTCAGATCATGGATAGAGTTTTGACTTAGGAGCGCATGATATGTTTGAATGTGGTGGAGCGGCATCCGGGGGACCCGTCAGATGGTCCCGGGGCGCCTCAGGAGGTTTTTTTTTTGGAACAGATAGCAGTGTTTTGCCTCGAATCGACGCTTTTTTTGCGACATGCTAAGTTTTCTCCCCTATTGCTAGGGTAAGGAGAAAAAGTGGGGAAATTCTAAATCAAAGGATTAGGATGTTAGAGAACTAATGTTGATGTTTTTTATGGATTTTAGATTAGTAGGCAATGAGTTGTGATATTTTTAATCTAGGCTTAGGCTATATTAGAGATATTGGGGAGTTGAGGCTTCAGGAGATATGAGGGAATTGGGGATGTTTGGGAGAGTGTTAAAGAGGTTCGATGTATTTTGGGGTTGAGGGAAATTATAATTGAGGTTATCTAGGGGAGATGATAATTATGTTGGGAAATAGGAGTATGGGTGAGAAAAGATAACCAAGGATTTTCTAAAATGCTAGAGGATCAATGACCAAGCTTTACTGAAGAATAGAGTAGTCACCAAGCCTGTCTATATAAAATTTGCACTAACAAATATTAATTTTATTCAATTAATCCAAAAGTTCTAAAGAATGTCTTATTTTTAAGTACTTTCCAAGCCTAGAAAACTTTGAAAAGCGTTATGAGCCAATAAAATGTTATTAAATTGATTAATCACTTATCCTAATATAAATAAATTAAAAAAAAAAAAAGAGAATCTAAACTTGCTAAAAATATGAAAATTCGGGTTGGCTGTATAAGGCAAGTAGAGGGTTTCTGAAACCAAATAATTTTTGAAGATTATTACTTTCTTGACGTGTATGGCCCACCTACTCATCAAGAGACTTTAAATTAAGCTTCTTAATTTTTCTCCAATAATTTTTGAGATATTATGGATTGTCCATTTGCTTTACATTGAGAGTTGTGTTTGATGAAAAGCTTAAATATTGATGTAGTTCATTGATTTGTGAAATCATTTTTAGCCTTTGCCTTGGTGTTATATTATAACAAAACACAAGTTTATACCAAAGTAGGCATACCTAAGGTACTCTCCATGGAGTTGCTGGCAATTATTTTTTATATTATTTAATAAAGGGGCTTGGTTTGTTGAAAAAGGAATGCAAAGTAAAAGAATGTAGTATATTTAAAATATTTGAAGTTGTTTGGATGAGCATAAAAGGAATGCATGAGATTACTTTTTTTGTTTAGCTTAAAGCCTTAAAGTAAAATGAATGCAGTTTAAAGTTCAAATATGGTGGTGGTCAGTGGTCGATAGTGGCAATAGTGATCGGTGATGGCGGCGGCAGTTGGTGGAGACGGGTCATTGACGACGACGATGGCCTATGGAGGAGGCGGGTGGCTATGGTGGTGGCAGCCCCACAACGGTGATGGCACTAGTCGATGGCAGGAGATGAGGGGGTGGCGGTGGTGAATGGCGGCCAGCAGCGATAAGGTAGCTTGGTTGCAGTGAAAAATGTTTTCACTCAAAACTGCACAAGTTTATTTTTCCTCAAATAATGAACTAGAATATGTTACACTGCATGTGGAATACTTTACATTGAATTCCTTTTTTATTCAACCAAACACCAATATTCGTAAAACCCCTGCATAAGGAATATTTTACATGCACTTTACCTCAAACCAAATAGCCCCTAAGAGAAATGCTATATTGCCTCATCCATAGGCCCAAAAATATTTGTTGTTGGCACTTAATGATAAATAGAGAGTGGGGGTGGGGGGCCAAACGAAGCCTAAATAAAAGCCCCATTATTTATCTTTGCAGTATTAAGAAGAAGGATTATTAGGTGCAAAAGTGCTTGTTTTAGAGTGAAGAGCTGGGTCATAGCTCAATTTTTACCTATAAAAATATAATCTTTGTTATGCTCGCTCCACCCTGCTTGCAAAGCTTTGCCCCATCAAAAAACTCTAACCCGCATGCTTGCTCTACCAAGTTAGTTCCGCGTCCGCCTCCCCACATGGCGCTGCGCACCGGTCCAACCTTCAAACAGCATAAGCAAGCTTTGCTCCAACATACTCAACCCAACATCACAACTACCTGCAAGTCTAGGTCATGTATTTTATGCGCTTACTTAGCCATGAGCATCCATGATTGCAAGCTCCATGTTGCAAACTTGTTCGGACTCCATTCCACTAGTTCGCAACCTGTCACCCAGTTCTCCCACTTACAGCCAATTGTATGCCTCTTAATTCCAATCAAAGGCCTCTTTTCTTTAAATACCCACAAGGAAAAGAGGAGGCAAGACAATATAGAGATAATTGAGAAGATATATAATAGATAGAAGAGGAGAAAGTATAACTTGCTTCAGAACTCAAGGAGAAGAATCCTGCATTTTGTTGATAGTTAGATTTGACCTTGAAGAAGATTTTAACTTTTATGTTCCATTTATCTTCCTCCCCCCATTGATTGTTGATCATGGTTAAGGGAGTGAACATCTCTTTGTCAATGATTGCTCATGGCTTATGGTTACGTTCAACAATGGCTTCCAAGCAATCATGAGTGACTACTTTATGAATTATGGTTTTGATGATATTTGATAAGAGTTGGAGAAAATTGGATTTCATTTTAACATGTACAAAGTTTATACAATCCTAGGATAGCATCTAGTAGGAAGAATATGAAATCAGAGAATATAATTTGTATACTCATATGTCCATGTAGGTATTCTACAAGTGCTCCACAGGTCACCACTAAGGGACTTAACCCAAACAATCATTTCTCTGAGGAGGAGAACTCTCCGTTAGAAAGGTTGATTGACCAATTGATTGTTCGACACTGCTCTGTAAAATTGCGACCACTTTCCCACTGAGGTCGTAACATGAGGACTCGCCTAGGCAGGCAGCATCGAGGAGTCTTCATCTTTAGTAGGCCTCACATATCTGCAAAATAATTTAGATGAACTCTTTTAAAATTTAAAAATATGTTGTTGTTTATTCACCAATCATGTTGCAATTTGTTCACTGGACAACTTTTAATCCTTCACCTTCACAGTTTATTATTTTCTTACAAAAGTTCTGTGATTTAGAAACTACAAAATATGTAGTCTAAGGTTTCGTTTGGAATGGCTTTCTTACTACTTCTTAAAGCCACTTTCTAGTACAAAAATTAAATTTTTTGTACTAGAAAGCTACTTTAAGAAGTAGTAGAAAGTCGTCCCAAACGAAGCCTAAATGAAAGCCCCATTGTTTGTGTCTGCAGTGTGAAGAATAAGGATTATTAGGCACAAAAGTGCTTGTTTTAGAGTGTATTATTGAAAGTATATAGTGCAGAGCTTGTTCATAGCTCAATTTTTACCTTATAAAATAATAATCTTTGTTATGCTCACTCCACCTTGCTTGCAAAGCTTTTCCCCCTTGCAAAGCTCTAACCCGCATGCTTGCTCTGCCAAGTTAGTTCCACCTCCCCACATGAGGCTGCGCACGAGTCCAACCTTCAGCATGCATGAGCAAGCTTTGCTCCAGCATGCACGACCCACATCACAATTGCCTGCAAGTCTAGGTCATGTATTTTATGCGCTCACTTAGCCACGAGCATCCATGATTGCAAGCTCCATGTTGCAAATTTGTTCGGACTCCATTCCACTAGTTCGCAACCCATGTCACCCATTTCTCCCACTTGCAGCCAATTGTACGCCTCTTAACTCCAATCAAAGACCTCTTCTCTTTAAATTCCCACAAGGAGAAGATGGGGCAAGCAACCTACACGAGATAGAGATAATTAAGAAGATATATAATAAATAGAAGAGGAGAAAGTATAAATTGCTTTAGAACTTAAGGAGAAGAAACCTGCATTTTGTTAATAGTTACATTTGATCTAGAAGAAGATTTTATCTTTTATGTTCCATTTATCTTAGATCTTGACAGAGTTATTGTGCCTCCATTGATTGTTGATCATAGTTAATGGAGTGAACACCTCTTTGTCAATGATTGCTCATGCCTTATGTCTTACGTTCAACTATGGCTTCCAAGCTATCATCGAGTAACTACTTTTATGAATTATGGTTTTGATGATATTTGATAAGAGTTGGAGAGAATTAGTTAATTGTTTTTCATTTCAACATGTACAAAATTTATACAATCCTAGGATAGCATCTAATTGGAAGAATATGAAACCAGATAATATAATTTGTATACTCGTATATGCCCATATAGGTATTCCATAAGTGCTCCACAGGTCACCATTAAGGGACTTTGATGCGGACATCCAACGGTGGGCGTTAATCAAAGGAAGAGACGAATATCGACGGTCGAAATCCCTCCATTTTATCTTAGTTTATTAAATGTATTTTTGAGTTAATTATGCATTTTCCGTTGTTACCCTTACTTAAGGGTCTTGTCTTATATAAGCCCAAAGGAAAAATTTGTCTTTTAGTTTCTTTTGAGGCCTATATATAGAGTCTCCTGTTCTTGTATTAGACTATGATGGATTATTAATAAAAAAAATTTCTGCACTCTTGTTATTTGGCAAGAATTTTGATGAGATTCCTATGGGAGGGAATCGTAGCATCCATCAGCTGCAGGATGGGCTCGGGCTTGTGGCTTGAAGTCCCTTGGTGAAGGGTAACGTATCACCCGTCAGTCGTAGGAAGCGTCCGGGCTCACGGTTTTATCTTCTTTCCTTGAACTCCTTTTCTCCTTCCCCCTTGACCGTCGGCCTTCTGTTAGGCTGGCCCCTCATGGGCCGACTGGACCGGTCCAACATGGACCAGTCCTTACTCTAGGCGGGCCCCACATGGGGTTTAATTCAAGTATTGGAGGGGGGAAAGCCTTGGGGCCCATGATGGGGTTTAATTCAAGTGTTAGAGGGAAAATTTGAATGGAAGGGGAGGGAATTTTGAATAGAAGGCTTGTTTAGGGATTTTGTATGGGCATTGGAGTTAAAGAGGGGGAAAGGGGGGATTTAGGTTTTCAACTTGAATTTGAGCTTATTTTTGGGATCTTCTTAGAGGCTTGGGCTCTAGTCTTCTAAGCTAGAGATTTTAGAGAGTTCTCTTCCTCTTGAATTGAAGAATCTTGCATGGTTATTGTTTTATTTCATCTACTAGTGGAATAGAAGTGATTGGCTTGATTTTCTTTAGATTCCTGCCCAATTTCTTATTGTTTTTTCACTATTTGGGGCTGTTAAACTGCTGGCTGTTTTCTCTCCAATTTGGAATAGGGTTGCTTGCGAACTCCAGTATTAACTTAGGGTTATTTGTGAACTCAAGTATTTCCTATCACCATCCCCCCTCCATAGCCGCCGACCAAGCTTCCATCTTCCCCTCCTCCACCCGTCGGCCACTCCACCACCACCTCCTAACCGGCAACCCCATCCTCTCCATTAAGCGCCGGTCCCTTTCCCAGCAAAATCCCTCTTCCCTTGGCTCCACCCATTCAAAACTTTCCAATTTGAGCCCTTCTTATTTTGGGAACAGTTTAATTTCATATTCAAATAAATTTAAATTTTGAATTTGTTTCCTAAAATGAAAATCCATATTTTAGGAAAGTTCCTAAATTTATGCCCATTTGAATTTAAATAGGCTTGGAATTAAATCAATCCTTCCTAATTTAAAATTCTAATTCAAGCAAGCATTAATTTCCCTCTCTTAAACCCCTCCCCTCCTTGAAGCCGCCGGCCCCCTCCCTCTTTCTCCCTCCATTCAATTAATTTTCTTCCCCTTATTGCTCCCCAATTAACTCCCATTCCAAGGTGTCGTCCCTACCTAACCCTATTTCCCTCCAAAATCCCATCTCTTAATTTTGAATTTTAAATTTTGTGAGGTCTTTAATCCCTTTCCTAATTTAAGATTTTAATTAAATAATCATTCAATTACCCCACTATCATCTTCCTAATTTAACACTATCTTATTTGGAAAGATTTCGTAATTCAAATTCAAATGAATTGAATTTTAAAATCTTTCTTAAATATCCTACACCTATTTTAGGAAATTTCTCTCAATTAGTGCAAATCTGAATTAAATGATTGAGTTTGAATTTAATTCCCCCTATTCAATGTACGTGGACACATACATCGAATGTGGACAATTCTCCCTCTCCCCTCTCTCTTTGGCCGGCCCCCATCCCTCCCTCCATTCTTACATCAGACTTAGCCCAAACAATCATTTCTCTTAGGAGGAGAACTCTCCATTAGAAAAGTTGATTGACCAACTGATTGTTCAACACTGCTCTGTAAAATTGCGACCACTTTCCCACTGAGGTTGTAACGTGATGATTCGCCTAGGAAGGCGGCATCGAGGAGTCTTCGTCTTTAGTAGGCTCACAGAAGGACTTGTATAGACTTACCTGGGTCACATATATCACTCATCTCAATAGCAACCTTGCATCCGTGGTCATTCTTCAAAATCAAAACCACTAGCTACCGCTGATATCCCCAATCTTGTTACAAGAACCACATGCACCTCAAGAGCTGCAACTCTGATTTTCTAGGTTTAAGCAGTTGTTAATCCGCTATCACTTCCACCCATGTGGACTAGCACTTTTGTTTCTATGAGTTTGAATCCTATCCTAATGGACTTCCCGTCATGACCAAAGGATTCACCTTCACATACTAGCTTATGAAGACTCGCATAGGGGACTCTCCTTGAACCTGGGCCATGCTATAAGCAGAAGCCTATGTGGAGGTCAATTAGCTCAACTACATGTCTATGATATCATGTAATAAGTCACATCATATGTTGTACTTCATACTATTTTTTGCTTTTAAGGTGTTGATTTCGTTAGCCCTATAAATAAAAGGTGAAAAGGCATACTTCAGATCTTTTGGATCTTTTTAAATATTTTTAAGATTTAAATATTTTGGCATTTCTCACTCTATAGATTCTATATTGCCCACTTACAAAATACACCACCCCCACTCTCCACACTCAAATCTACTATTCCGTAAATATTACATGCTTTAAAGGTTTGGTTGGGTATCATCCACGAAAAAATTTAGATCCAATAGAATTAGTTATAAAATAATTATAATAATTCATAGGTTGATAAATAGATAGTGGGGATACCATGGATTTATAAGTTGGTAACAAAAGATAAAAGAGTATGAAAGTCCCCTTAAAGTGAATGAATGGATGTCATCCATTCTATGATTACCTTATATTTTTTTAAGGATTGCCCTTAGTAATCCTTTGTTAATACTATTAGCAGTTTAGCATATTTTTCACAGCTGGTCAGGAATGGATTAAATATTGTATGGGATTATGTTGCATGATGTACAGATTAAATCACTATCAAGTTTCTCTTTTATAAAGCGTCTATCAATTTTAATATGCTTTATACAGTATTATTGCATGGGATTTTATGCAATATTAATGGTTAGTTTGTTATCACAATAGAGTCACATAGAACATTTCCATTCACTGTTAAATCTTCCATAATACTCTATAACCAACTTTAGCATTAGATATTGCTATCATATTTTATGTTTTACTTATCCGAATTATGAGGTGCCTCTTTAAAAAGTACAATATCATTGAGTTTACCCCTTGTCAACTATAAAACCTACATAATATACATCTATGTAAGCTTCAAGAATTAATTCTTCCCTCTTTTTTAATAGAATTATTTTACCTAGGGTTCCCTTCAAATATTTTAGAATTTTATACACTATCCTGAGTTGCGATTTTTAAAGATTATGCATGAATGTTACAACATCAGCAACATAGGCAATATAAAGTTTAATATGCAATAAGTAAATAATTCTTTATCACTCTCTGATAAAAGATTTTCTCTAGTGTTGTGTATTCCAGAGCATCTCCAAGTTTTGATTAAATTCCATGGGGTTCGCAACAAGCTTGCATCCCAATATATAAATTTAATATTGATCCTAAATATAATTTTATTATGATTATAAATTCTTCTCTTTTATGCCCACTAAATCTAATGTTATGATATTTGATCTTGTTTTTTATAAGATCAATAAAAAATTATATATATATATATATATAGAGAGAGAGAGAGAGAGAGAGAGAGTCTAATTCCAGACCTCCCCATGTAGAAGGGGGGTAAAAGCACTAGGGAAGCAAAAGCTTTTTATATGGAAATACTTTTGTTGCTCTTTATAACTTTTCTATCAACTATCTTACCATGAAATTTGTGTTCATAATATTTGTCATAAAATGAAAATAATTCTTACTATTGATTTGATTTTTTATGCCTATATTTCATTATCCTCTACTTTAATTTTATTTTTTGAAAGTCGTAGGTTCCTCTTATTTTTATTGATTTTGTTGAAGTCACTAGCTTGATTCCCTATACACCGCAACTTTTTTATTCTTAATAAGGGTATGAAAATGCCTCTTCTATAATCACTAGTCATTTTTAATGAGTCTTGGAAATTGTCTTATTGCATGTTATATTATGATTTTTGTGTTCTTTAGATAAAGCTCTTTCTTACATATATGAGATTATGTTACTTTTGTAGGGCAAAGAGCTGGACATCCCATCATAACCCTCCAGCCATCTTCGCATGGAAGGAAAGACTATGACAGTATCTCATAGTGTTGTAGAATTGTTTTTAATGTTGCGTTTTTTATGGATATCAGATTCATGGCTGGCAGTGAAAAAATATGTACTGCAAAATCCCATTGCTTGCTTATAGGTTCTCTGGCAGTTTCAATCTGTTAGTCAATTGTGCTTGATAAAAACATATCTGATTGTTGGTCATCTATCGATCCTCTTTATTAAGTGTCTATAGCCAGATGATGTTTAGCATTTGTTCAGTTTCCACGTCATTTAACTACATATATATGTCTTTGCTCGTTTGACTTTACCCCAGTGGGATATTATGATCTGAGGCAAAGACGTGCCTCGTGCGTGCTAGGAGTTTCTTTTTGTTAATTTTATTTTTTATTTTGTGTTTATCTGTCATTGAATCTTATTGAATAAGCAATCATAATATTTATCTTAGTGGCATTTGATGATTGCCTCAGACCATTGAAGTGCTTACTAGCTTTTCCTTTTTGAGTAGTCACCAATGCTTGTATTTGGTCTTCTTCGCTGTCAGAAGAGCTCTTTCATCATTTAAGTGTTTGGATACCGTATTGTAAAGAGCTGCACCTTTTTATTTCGTTTAGGGTTTGTGCTCCAACTATGAGCTGTAATAAAGATTTCTTGCCCACAGTGCTTTTCTTATGGCTGATCCCTCTGTTTGGCATTTTCATCTTTCTGAAAAATGTATATGCCTCTGCTTGTTTGGGGTTATTGTTTCTTTGATTTTTTCCCTTAGATGCATAAGCAAATGTTTCATAACTTCCCCCCCGCCCGGAGGGCTTTTGTATAATTTATCGATAATATTTTCTCTTGTCCCGGGATTCCGTCCAGCATTTTGCTTTGCAGATGTTCTGTATCCATGCAGATAGGATATTTGAAGCTTGAAGACTGAGCTGTCAGAGAGGAGAGGAGGCTTCCTTCTCGCGGGGTTCGTGAAGAAAAACAGTAGAAAGGTAGGCCCTATTTGTGTTTTATTGGTGGCATTTCGATTTTATTCTTCCCCTTTTCTTACATTATTTTGATGTTGTTCTTTTTTTTTTCAAGAAAAGCATCGGATTATAAATTAAAGGGTAAATGTTTTAAGTAAGCATGATTAAATTTCATATTTTTAGTTTAATCAAGTGTTGTAAGCATATTTTTTTGCCTGGAAGAGTTAAAGGCGGAAGGAAAAATGAAGGAGAAGATGGGTGTTCAGAGTTTTTTTTTTTTTGCTGCCTTCTTTGTTTTTCGGCAAGCAAATTAAATGTGGTTCCATTTAGCAGAAGGAAATGTAGGATTTTAGCAAAATTTTTTAGGTACTATCTTAGATCTGAATAATTCGTGCAATTTACAAGTAATTGCAATTCATTAGTTGTAGGATTTTAGCAATTTTTAAAATATATTTTTTAAAATATAAAAATTAAATTTTTATTTTGTTGATCTGTACTCGTGACCTATAACTTCTAATCAAATATCATTTAAATCTAATATTTTTGTTCGAAATTTTCATATTGATATTTTGATATAATCTTAAAAGCAGTAAACTAAAATTGAATAAATCTGATAGAAATATGAAAATACATTAAAATGATTTATGCGATAATTACAAAACCAATACATCACGAAAAATCCCCTTATTAGGAACGAGTGAACTAGAGTTTAGCACAAAATATAGATGTTTAAGCATTAACGGCTCAATTGATAAATATATAACTATATTGATATTTATATGACCTATATAATGACTTAAGAAAATAACCATGGCAATTTTTTAATTATGTTAAATATAGTTTTTGTATTAGCGGTTGGTTTTGTAATTATAAGTTTTGTAAAATTTATTGAAATATAATTGTGTAAATTAATAATTATCTAGATTAAATGTATGTGATTTCTTTATCTTTTTAAGTGAAATGTATCAGCTCAATAATGATTGGACGAAGAGCAATATTTATGCTAATTTATCAAGGTGATTTACAATTGGATGAAAATTATGTGTCAATGTATTATAGAGGTAGGAATCGTCTCTAAGTGCTAAGAAACATCAAATTAGACCAACTTAAGTTAAAGATCCTTAGAGCACTTAAGTATAATGCATCTAAGTTTTCAATGAATTTAGTTTGTCGAGTGCCTGTAGGAAATAAGTTTGTCGCTTCACATGTTGAAGATGATGAGGTATGTAAAGTTTCGTTATGCCAGGCTGTTATGGAATTTCTTATCCTTTAAATAAATATATTAAATATAGAGTTATGATATTTATTTTCAAAGCCTATGTTTAAGGATAAACTTTGAATCGTTATTTTTTTTTTTTTTGTCCCTTTAATTTTCAGTATAATGCCTATCCATTAAAAATACCAATTAAAATTTTAATAATTTCAAAATAAACATTTTTTTATCAAATTTTGATGAATATATATTTTTAAACTATTAACTTCTAATAAAATATAGAAATTATAGTTTACATTAATATTTTCTTTCTTCTATTTTTATTTTTAATTATTTTTAAGTATATTTATTTAATATATTTTTCACTTAATTTATTTTTAAAATATTTATAATAGTAAGTTCGCCCTTTAACGGACAACTTGCAATAGTAATATTTTTTTATAATTAGTTATCTATTAATTTGGCGATTGAGACATGACTCTCAGTCAGCATAAGTCTATTCTTAAATTTATTTGGTCATCATCTCCGTCCTCCGACGCCGCCGTGGCCTCGCCGGATTCGGCGATTGGCGTTGCGGGGATGGCGGGGGAGGCGGAAGGTCCGGTGCGGTGCTCGGCCTGCCAGAAAAAGGTTGGGCTCATTCGGTTCAAGTGTCAGTGCGGGTCGACGTACTGTGGGGTCCACCGGTACCCTGAGCAGCGCGCGTGCTGCTTCCATTTCAAGTCGGCCGGCCGAGACTCCATTGCCCGCTGCAATCCTCTCATCAAGTCCAAGAAACTTCACAAGATCTAGACCGTCCATTTCGCTGCTGGCGAGCATTGTGATGACGGTTATGATCGTGTCAAGTGATCAGGTGTCGGGTCGATCGCTCTTTTTTCTCTTTATTAATTTCAACGATTTACTTTGAATTTGGAGTCGTAGTCACTGAAATATTTATATTTGGTGGACACTTGTAAATACATAAGTGGTCCGTTTATGCTGTTATATATTTGAAGCTCAAGCTTAATCACAATGTTTTATTTTTATTTTTTTTCTAATTTTTTTAAATGATTGGAGAGAAAAACATGTAGCCGACCCCAACGTAGTGGAATAAAGGCTTAATATTGTTGTTGTTGTTGTGGAGAGAAAAACATCTTTCTTTTTTTTTAAAACACATATATATATCATTTTATACCTTCCTAGTTACATATCTAACACTCAAAATATTAATATTACATATATCATCTTATATTATTTTAATATCAAATATGTCACTCATATATTTCATTTCTACCACTCATATATTTCATTTATATCACTTATATTTGATATGAAAATAAATTATGGGTGGTATGCATGTAATATTAAAGTTTTATGTGTTAAATATATAAATAGAATAGTATATGATAGTATGTATGTAATATTAAAATTTTATGTGTTAAATATATAAATAGAATAGTATATGATGGTATGTATATAAATCTCTTTTTTTTTAAAAAAAATGGATGTCTATCCGCTGACACTATAAAGAGAGCGTTTGGCGGCGTAAATAATCCCTTGGCAAAACCTAGCGAGGTCACTCACCGGCATTGAGCCTACACTTGCTTTGCCCCACTGAAGATGCAAGACCGTAGTAGGGGGTTCGAGCCCGGGATGAGGGTTCCAATTCGTGCTCGCCCACAAACCACCCCAAATCTCAATGGATGAGCTGCGAAATTTACATCATAACGTTTTACTTCAGTTGATTGTTGAAAGAGTAATTACGTTTCACGCCTCTGGTGATAATTCTAAGGGTGAGTATTGTTTGGCATCATAAATGTATTATTTATTGATATTTTCTTAATTTTACATTATTAGTATATTGTAATAACTCTTACATTACGTCATTTTATTTTTATAACACTAAATTAATTTTGATTATTGAATTGACTTATTAATGTTGTAATAAATTCATTTAATTAATTATGAATATAGATGCAATTCTAGAACTTTAAATTGCTTAGTATTTGAGCCAAAAGTTTAAAATTAATTGTCGGATCATTCAAATTTATTTTCAATAAATTAGGGTTAAATCAGTGTTTCTATTAAGGGTTACGAGATCAAATTTATTTATTTATTTATTTATTTATTTATTTATTTATTTATTTTTATTTTTATTTTTTTTTTGAAGCATATACGATTTTAAAAAAATGAGGGTCTTGATAAGACACCACACCACACCACAAAGGATCAAAAAGATTGTTGGATTGAGTGCCTTAAACTTTGGTCAAGTCTTAGAAAATGCCCCCGCTAAAGATTTATAAATAAGATTTATTTCTATTAGCTATCTTGGTTTATATGAGCCGTTAGATCTTTTCATGTTTATTTGTACCGTTTAATTGTTATGTCCTAGTCTATTTATAGCTACTTATAACAGTTGCTCAATATAATAGAATTACTTTTCATTTCCTTTCTCTGTCTTGGTCTCACTGCTATCATGGTATTAGAGCGAACCATGTAATTTTTTTCCGATCTTCTCTCTCGTCTTCGATTTTAATGGTGATGCAAGATAATTCATCCACTTTTTCTACTGCTTCTCCGAGCTCATCTTCTACCTCTGACATATCGATACCTACTTCTTTAAAATTTTGATGTCCATGTGAAAACTATTTTGAATTCCCAACTCACCACGGATAATTATCACATTTAGCGATCACAAATTACCAAACTCTTCTCGGCAAACAATTTTTTTGTATATTTTGATTGCACGATTTCAAAGCCCTCAAAACAAATCGTTCTTGATAATCACACTGTAGCTGTTAATCCTCAATATAGTTCTTGGTTGCTCATTGATCAAAACTTGGCATCTGCATTATTTTCTACAATTTTTTCTTCAATCTCGCCTCACGTTCTTAATCTTGAGTCTTGCATGGACATTTGATTCATGTTAGAACGCCGCTTTTAATCTTCCAATCTTTCATGTATCTTGCAACTCAAGAACGAATTGCATCAGCTACAAATGAAGGATCACACTATGGTACAATACATATCCGAGATCAAACAAATGGTTGACGCCATTAATGCTACCGGATCTCATATTGAATCAGAAGATATTATCTTATATACACTTTTAATGGCCTTCCTCCTTCTTACAATGCATTTAAGACATCCATCCAGACGAAACTACATCCAATACATTTGGATGATATCTATGCCTTACTATGTAGTGAAGAAACCAGCATTGCTACAAAATCTCGTTATGATACTCTGGATTCATCCTTTGCTCTTACGGCCTCCCGCAGTCGTTCTCGAGGAAGATCTCGTGGCCGTTCATCAAATCAACGAGGTGGTCGCTCTCAATTTCTACTTGCTCATGGAACTAGTTGATCTTCGGTTCTAGTCGATTGTCAAATTTGTGAAAAATACGGACATGGCTGCGTCCTGCTGGCATCACACCAATCTTTCATACCAACCAATCACACCTCAAGCATTGTGGGCTCATGACGAAACTCCTCCGGCTGAGTGGCTTATTGATTCCGGTGCAAGCACACACCTGACATCTGATGCCTCTCAAGTTCAATCTATGCAACCATACACAGGTAATTCGCAGGTCCAAGTTAGAAATGGCATTTTGCCTACACTTGCTCGTAAGTTTTGACTTAATCATCTTCTCCATGTTCCTACTATTACACATAATTTGATTTCTGTTAATCGTCTTATCAAAGATAACAAATGTTATATTATCTTTGATTCTAATGGATTTATTGTTAAGGACTCGTTGACACATCATCCTCTTCTCCGGGGTACCAGCCGTCACGGACTGTATCATATTGATCTCTTGCCGGCTGCTGTCTCTGATCCGCATCCTACGTCTCTTCTTACTATTTCCAGCAATGCTTCTATATGACATCAACGACTTGGACATTCTGCGGCTGACATTCTTCAAGCCGTCAATAGTTCTTGTTCTTTTTCGAAACATAGCTTTCATTGTGATTCTTGTGTTCGTACAAAAATGCATCGTTTACCATTTTCACTTACTACTGCTAAAACCGAATCTTGTTTAGAATTACTTCATATTGATGTTTGGGACCCTTTCCCAATTTTTTCTGTTCAAAATTACATATATTATATCTTGTTTGTTGATGACTTTACTCATTACACTTGGTTATTTCAGCTTAAACAAAAATCTGATGTTTTTTTCAACCTTTCTTTCTTTCAAAAATCTGCTTGAAAATCAATTTCAGACAACTATTAAAGTTATTCAGTCTGATCGCGGGGGAGAGTATCTTAATAAACAATTTCACACTTGCTTACAAAAGTTTGGCATTATTCATAGGTTTACCTGTCCTTATACTCCGCAATAAAATGACATAGCAGAAAGAAAATATAGACACTTAATTGAAACTATGCGTGATTTACTATTTCAAGCCAATATTCTTAATCAATTTTGGGTAGATATGTTGCTAACTGATGCTTATCTTATAAACAGGTTGCCAATGCATAATAATCTAAGTAATCTTTACATATATTTAAAATTTCTCATTTAGTTCATTTCAATATATTTAGAATTTACATGATTTTGTAAATTCTAAATATAATAAAATGTGAAGCTTCACCGGCAATCTTGACCAAACACCACCACTAATGCCGTTACTAATCATTTTCGCCATCGTTATCATCACAATTGATCATTGCAGTTGTCGTCATCACCATCGTTAGGCCACAAACGTACCCACTATCATCGTCATTTTCGTATTTTGAATATTAGTTTTAATTTGCAAATGACCAATTATAAAAAAAAAGCTCATAAACTTCTTTATAAAAAATTAAGTAGTTTAAAAAATTTTCAAATATATGATATGAATTTAAAATACTCTTAAAATTCAAATTCATCCAACCAAATAGAGTTATTGGATTTAGTTGTTGTCATATAGCATTTATAATTAGAATATATAGTATTTATTCATACAATAATTTTTCATTATTGAGAATATTTTATTTTATTATATTTCCTCTATTGTTTTTTTCTTTCCTTTATATAGGTACATTTGCATTAGTATGAAATCAATCCAATAAATATTCAGCCTTTTATGATTTTTATTTATTATATTACAAGAAACAAGGGTCATTCCAACGACAAAAATTAGCAGACCAGAGCTATGGGAATTCTTGTATCCTATATTGGCAATCTAGACACCTTAATATTTTTTTAGTTGTATTGCTACCAATTTTTAACCCTAATATGCGGGTTCTAAATAATGGAAATTTTGTTTTATTTTTTCTCTAATTTTATTTGTGAATAATCAACCATAACTAAGAAGATCAAAATCTATCTATACCAACTCAATTTCTCATTTGCAACAAAAAGGGAGCATGAAATCATATACATACCTATTAGATGAATTATAAATTAATTCTCAATTTATTATTTATGGAGAGAATATATGTGGGAATATTCAAGTAAAATTTAATTAAAATAAATCTTTAAAATTTTAAATTTATTTTAAGATAAATGTGATTTAATTCATGAATAAATACTGAGTATTTTTAATTCTCTCATTGTAAAATAGATTCAAGAGATTTAAAATTTCTTTGACCATATGTTTATCAATATATCTTCACCAAATATGTTTCATTAAATTCTTTTGAGCATAATATTTAAATAATTAATTTTCTATTTTGATTCAGATTTGAGATTTTTATCATTTTTTTAAAGCTAAATAAGAAAAGCACTTTCTTATATGGTGCATAGATAAATTATAATTGAGCAAAAATTCACATAGTATTTCAAGCTTCTCTAATTTATTGATCCATGCATTCTTCTAAAACCAAGCAATTCTAATTCGAAGTAAAATGATTGTAAAGTATTTGAAGGTCTCTTCTCTCAAAATTTTCATGTGAACTGTAGCGTGTGACCTAGAAGAAATGAGAGAATCTTAGGATGGGACTTTAGTGAGCGAACCAAGAGAAAGAGCTGAGAGGAGTGTGGAGGTGTTAGATTATTCTCCTCAGAAAAATGCTAAATGGAAAGAATTCCTTTGAATTCTTTTGATATAAAGGTCAAGCAGCACTGTGCACACTCATTAGTTTGGTTTCCTGAAATTTCTAACCATCAAATTTTAACAATCATTGATAAGCACATGGAATGCAAATATAATTAATTTAATAACTAAAATAACCAAAACAATTAAACAAGTTAACTAGAAAGTGAGACTTACATTGGACTTTGCAGTAGGTTTGAACCTCTTCACTTAGATGACATATTACCATAAAAGTTGGCAACCTTCTTGTTATAATCTTTCATTTTCCCCTTCAAGCTCTTGTATTCAAGCTTTACATCCCTACAAAGAAGTAACACCACACCATTAAAAAAAATTTTCATAACAAAAAAATTTGCTCCATTAATGCCCCAACTAATACTCGACATATACAAAACTTGGCTCTAAAACTAAGCTCAATAAATCAATCATTCCCTCTTATCAACATTGCTAATATTAATGTTCCTCATGCCTACAACATTAATTAGTGTAGCCATCTTGTTGGCACATCATCTACCTTCTTAGTCAAAAGTTTTGCACATACAGAGAGAAAAGAACCATTCAATCAAATAATTTAATGTGATTCTTATCTTTCTTGCTTTTGAAATTAATGATCATTAATTTATAATATATTATATTTATTGAAAAATAAATAAATCATAAGATAAAATTATTATCAAATCTCAAGCAAAACACAATAGTCAAACATTATTCTTAGTCACATTATGGAGTATTGAAAAGAAAAATCACAACATTTTTACATGGAACAGACCAACCCAAGAAGCGCAAGTAATATATTGTCATACATCAACAATAATGTCATTTAATTTAAAATATATATATGATTTTTAACATTCTTCAAGCACACAACCTAACATACTAATAGACAAATAACCAACATGAATATTTATATTTTATGTAAAACCAGACAGGCATTACTCTACTATCATAAATTATAGATGTCTTTCATATTCGATTACCATATTTGTATATATTTAAGCTTGTTCAATCTCAAGTGGAATTACCTCTGCCAAAGATGTTTGCATGTCTTGATTCACCACGAACGACCGGCACACTGAACAAGTCTGTTGCCACCATAGACATAGATCCACACATGTTGCATTAAATAAATGTCCACACTCTGACAGAAGCCTCAATGCCTTATCCTCTATCGCGTCCTCCTCATAGTCGACAAGACAAATAGAGTAGCAAATGGAGTTGACCGCTCGCGAATCCCGACTCTTGGCTTCAGCATAGGTGAGCGTAGGCCGGGTACTAAAGGTAGCATTGTTGATCTCAGTATCTACATTATGTTCGGGCTGAAGGGGAGGGGCAACAACATAGAAATTCCACATTAAGTAGGTGATGTAGGTGATGGTAGCGATAAGAAAAATGATGAAAATGAAGATGATGATGGCGTAGATCATTGTGAAGTGGGCATGAATACAAGAACTTAACCCTGGGAAAACAACAACATATTCACTTATTAATTATAGCAAAAGGAAATCTGCTAGTTAATTTTATAATTTTATGTAAGCTAAATAATTTCAAATCGTTGAAATGTGATATGAAAAAATAAAAAGAACAAAAAATGCAAGGATAACTTAAGCAACTTAGCACAAAAAACCAGAAAATAATGACTTTAACCCCTTTAGCAATAATACTTAGAAGAACTCAATCTCCCCCCAAACAATGCAAGCAAGTTTTCGTATTTGTTACGGGCTAGAATATAAGCGGCGGTAGACTTTACAAATTCACGTCTGAGCATTGCACGAATATTCAGTACATAAACAGAAAAGAAAATGAACACCAGGATTTTTACGTGGAAAATCTGAAAGAGGGATAAAACCATGGGGCCACACCCAGCTAAAAAGTTCCACCAGTGTTTTGTAAATTACAAGAAGTTGATTCGAACCACAAGTCAGGATGATCAGATTACAATCCGCTTCTTCTATCTTGAAGCAAATTTACAAAATTCTGCAGAATTCAGGCGTCTCCCGAAAATCCGGCAGAGTTTCGGCGTATTCAGGCGGCGGAAAGAACTCCGGCGGTGGTCGAGGAGGAGATGATTCTCCCTTTCCCCTTTTTCTCTTCTCTTCTTCTCTCAGTTCTCCCTTGAGTCCTCTTGTGAAAAATGAGGGCTCTATTTATAGTTTTTCTGGAGTGACATGGCTTGTAAATAGGTGTGAGATCAGGGGCGAATAGGGAGTGGTCTAATGGACGGTTGATGTTGAACCCATCGATCGTGCACCGTTCGTTGGACATTTGAAGGCCTTAGTGATATTGGAATTTGGCGACCTTAGGCTCGTTGGATTTGTCTCGTTGAGCCGTTCGATTCGTGTATAAGCTCGTTAAAATCAGAGACTGTTTGGTAACTCAAATTGTGATTCGAACCTTCCAATAGCACTTTGGGTCCTTGATTCGGACCCATTTTGGCTCAGATTGGGTTGAATTTGGTGTCATTGGGTTCGCATTTTCGAGATGCTCTGTTTGACTATAAGCTCATTGAAATCGAAGTTCAGATGCTCCTGAATTTAACTTTTGAAGTTCCCGGGTTGGTTTTTGCCTCGAGATTCGCGCTCAATCAAAATTTTTTCATGATGATGTATCAGTTGCCCCCCTATTTTCAGACGTCGCAACTCCAGGAGTCTGAAAATATGCATCATGAATTTTGGAGAATTTTTTCGAGTATGTCAGAATTAAGCTTATGTATAGGGGCCTCGAATGGCTCTGAAAGTGCCGAAATTGAGTCTGGAACATCGAAAAATGGTCTCGAAGACCCAAAAAAAGTCAGATTTGGTCTTTTTGGGGTGAAAAAAGGACCCGGAATGGGTCGGGCAGCCGAATCGACAAGCCGGCTGTGGGTCTCCGAAAGGGTTCTGCTCGTGTGGTTCGAGTGCAAAGAGTACGATCACACTATCCCGTAGGACAAAATGGTCGTAGGCCTTTACAATCGGCACAAGCAGGCCGATGGAAGAGCAGATGGAGTTATAGATACGATTAGCCATGGAGGATAGTGGGTTTTCACCTACGCACCTCGATGGATAATAATATCTATAACCCTAAATTCACGAGATTTCCCCCATTCGATACATCAGCTCGAATGAGGTTTATTTGATTGTGGGGATCGGTTTCCTACGGGCGCAAGCCCCCGTAGTTAATTACATCCTAAGCCTTGACTTAGGAAAACTCTCGATTAAGGATGTTAGATTATCTCCTCTAATGGGTTTAGTGCAAGGGAACTACTAACTTATAACTGAAATCAAGCACGGCGATGCCTATCAATACATGCATGTCAGTCATATCAATTCATATCAGTCAAATGGTCAATGGGAGTCCTATGCAAATACGCAATCCATGAGTCAATGAAATCAAAGTCTATACAGCGCAGGCCGAATCGATAAATTCCATCTCAATCAATACTGTCAATCCTCGAAGAAATCTTTGTACACAGTTGAAAATCAATCAATCCGTCAAATCAATCACTACATTAACATCGATGCAGCGATCCC